ACACTTAGTCTCAGTGGTTGATTCTTGTTAGAGTGCCTTAAATTGTATGGTTGTATCTGACTTGAGTACTCAAACGAGAGTGTCTTGATAAGCCAATCTGGAGTGAGTCATGTGCCATGTGTGTGTGAGTTGTTTTGTATTCTATGATTTGCATTTGATGCCTAGAACTTGCCCCGTGTGTTTGCAAAGCGAAATAGTAGCTTTATTCAGTCTTAGAAGTGATTTAGGCATTTCTTTGTTAAGCCAGATATATAAAGTAGACCCACTTAAATGTGATAAATCGTAGTTAACCCCGTTGAGCCTATAAGCATGTTTCTTTGGCAACCACATTACAAACCTTACCCAATTGTTTGAACGACCCATTTTTTTGAACCCCTTTACCTCTCATGAGCACTTGAATGGTTATGAAATATGCAAAAGTTAAAGTGTGGGGTGGTGGTTTGGTTTTTTGAGTGGAACCAATGAAATAGAAAAAAAAAGGTGCAGTATTTTGAAACATAAAAGAATAAGCGCCCCTAAAAAAGAAAAAAAAGAGAGAATAAGTGAGTGTAGTACTTGATAAGTGGTGGCTTGATATAATTGCACCTAATGAAGTTTGGGGTATTATAAATAGAAGTGTGGTGGAATGTCTGGATTGACATAAGTATGGTTTTGAAGGCGAATGTAATTGTATTAAAAGTGCGTAGGGAGGTTAGTCACTATATCCAAATGTATCCTACCCGTCCCTTAGCCTACATTACAACCAAATGAAGTCCTAATTGATCTTAGACTGAATGGGCTCGATTAGTAGAGTAGTACACTACGGGCAAGCCTATGGTGCATCTGTGTGGCATATGAATTTTCTTTCTGAGAGTGAGCGAATTTTGTCTATCTAAGTTCCTAATTGTTCTTAATATTATTATTTGTGGAACTAATCTCTTGTGTGATGTAAGGGCATGTGATTCACGAAGGAAAGGCAAGTCTTGACCTCTGTATAGAGTACTTTGAGTAAGTATGAATATTGCACAGCACGTGAGAGTCGACTCTTGAGGCAAAGATGGTACACTACTAGACGTAACTTTAGTGAATTGTTCTCGGTGTGATACGTTAGGGGAAAAGCTTAGTGAAGGAACCTTTATAGAGTATAGTGGATTGCTCGAGGACTAGCAATGATTTAAGTGTGGGCCGGGTGTTGATAATAGGCTAGATTCATGTAGTTTGGCGACTATTTATGCCCCAACTTGACTATTCTTCACTGTTCTAGGATGGTTAAATAACGATAAATTGGCTATAATTGTGAATTTCATGTTTTGCAGGAGCAAGTTGCGCTTATGAGGACATAGGATAGTGTTTGGAGTTAAATTAAAGCAAGGGAAGCCCCTCGGAGCTGAGTACGTGTGAAAGAAGAGAGAAAAGAAGAGATAAAATGCTGAACCAGCTTAGCGCGGCCTTAGTTCGCCCTTAGCGCGACCGCGTTAGTCCAGAAAATCGAGGCAAAATGTTATGCAATATGCGCGGCCATTAGTGTGGGCACGAGCGCGGCCGCGCTAGTCCAGTCCGGAGCATATAATTTCAGGGGTAAAAGTTGGAAGTTTGGGGGTAATTCCACTTAACCTATAAGAGGTCCAGCTCGCCCAAAGAGACATTATCAAGGTTTTTACAATTGAGTTGAAGGCAAGAAGAGGCAAGAGGCAAGGAGGATAATTCGACATCGAGTTCTACCTTTCTTCCTTTTGTATTTATCATTTATGATGAATTTGGCTGCTATTATGAACACGATTATGAGTAGCTAATTATTTTGTCTAGGATTGTGATGGAACCTGTTGAAGGATGAACTTCATGTTATGTTAATATAGTTTGCCCAGTTTAATCTCTATTTGTTCAACTACGTTCTTGTTGTAGTTAATTGATAGGATCCTCAATTAGTTATGCCTATTTAGTATGTATTACTCAGGAGAGAGTGCATATTTAGGTAATTTTTGAACAATACCACTCCCAAAGTATATGAGAAATCAATAACCGAGGGTTTAAAGGCGGGATTAGAGATAACGAAGCCTTAGGTGTGATCTAAAGTGAGCTGTAATAAAAGCCAGCTAGCGTATCTCGGGAGAGTGCGTCTAGTAAATTGTCGTAATTACTCGGGAGAGATTTACGGTAGTAAGAGTGATCATGATCGATAGAGACGATTATGCAAATCATTATGAAACATAACAGGAAGGGATTTCATCAATAGGGGAAATCACAATCTTAAATCCTTCTCTTATTTGTTAACAACTCAGTCATAGTTAGCTGTTAGTTTACTTAAATTTACTCAGTTCTAGTAGTAAAAATATCGCCAGTTGATATTCCAAATATCTGGGAAGTTGATTACGAAGAATTTAGTGAGTCTAACAAAAGTAATTGATAGGTTAATTCCTTGTGGATTCGACTCTGGGCTAAATACTCAGATTATATCTGCAACGACGACTGTCCTTTTTATAAGGCATAGTTGGGCGTGATCAACAACCACTATTATTTTTAGTCCCACGGTGGGCGCCAAGCTGTTTACCTTGAAAATGATAATTACAATTAGATTTGATTTTGTGGTTCTAAAAATATGTGATCTGTTTTTATGCTAGTTGTTAGACAATAGATGCTAAGTGTGAGACTAGAAAATAAGATAAGAACTCAAAAACGGTATGTTTAAACCGAGTGGCTGAGAATCGGGCCTCGAGCCTGGTTATACGGGGCCTCGAGGTTGAGCTCGATACTAAGTTGTGGACAGCCGGTAAAGGACTAACAGCTTTGAGAGCGCTTTGATGAAGGCTCTTTATGATCAATAATGAGTAATAAATGAAGAACAATTAATAGAACACAATAAATGTAAGCAATAAATGTAAATAATAGAATCAAAGGAGAATGTGTTTAAGTTAGAGAGCAGAGAATGTTCTTGTGTTCAATATCGTGTGTTGTTTCTTACAAAATGACAAGGATCCCCTTTATATATGAGGGGAAATTCCAACATGGTACAGATGCATTTATTACAAAGAAATATAGCTCGTACATCTATTCGCTAATCTGGTACAGACTAGTGCTTCTCTTGCAGGTTTTGTCAGCTTTGATCATGCGCCTTGGGAACTTCCTGCTTACCCATGGTAACCATCGATTTTTATTGCCCCGAGGTCGAACGTTGAGAACCCTCGGGGTCGAACCTCGAGCCGTGCCTTGAGCCCTTAGAGACGTGCTTATGATGTGTCATAATGGCCATAAAATCGGACCCCTGATTTTTACCGTATACAATTGCATTCGAAATTCTCGTGCCATGTATGTTCCTTGGATTTGATTCACCACAAGTTGAGAGTCGCTCTTCTATTTGATGTGTTCAATACCGAGTTCTCTATCTAATTCAAGCTCGCAATTACTGCCTGTACTTGGCTTCATTGTTAGCGATACAGTGAAACTTAATGGATTATCTAACCACTTCCGGATGATGCTATGAGCACTATTCCTTGTCGGAACCCTTTAACATTAAATGATCCAATTGTATGGAAGCGATAAGCGCTTTGTTCTCTGCCTTGGGAAGTATATATACCCGCACTGAAATCAGCCATGAAAATTGCTAAGAGTTGTGATTTGATTGTCGAAGGAGGTTGATAAATAATGCCACATTCGCCAAGTTCAACTGTCCACTTGGCAAGTCGTCCAATTTATGTGGGATGCTCTCTAATGGAAAAGTTGTGACTACATAATTATGATGTCACTAAAAATATGGCCCAAGTTTCAGAGCAGCGATTGTTAGTGTCAGACTGACAGTGCTAGTTTTTATAAGCGTGGATACTTGAAAAGAGATTGTTGTGAGGGCGAATGGTGCATATAATTTATTTCCAGAAGAAGAGACCCATCAGATTGTTATTCGAATTGCTTGTGACACTAGAACTAGCTGTATCATTATTCACTCCCAGCAACTAGACAATTTTTAAACCCACCCGATCGATGGGCTCATAGATTATCAGCAACATCTATCTCAGTGACCTCTCTACGGTATGACTTCGACAAAGTCATGCAGGTATATATTATCGAAGGTCCACTTCAACTGTCTCAATAACTAATGGTGCATAATTTTCTTCTCTATCTTCTCTTTATGCGCTGAAGAAGAAACTTCTATTTGCATTAGTCGGATTCTGTGGCATTTTACGAAAATATAATAGCGTCTTCCTTCCATGTTATTATTAATATTCTTTCAACTTTTTCTGAATTGTTTTCTTCATACACCAAATTTTGCATCTTACTAAGTTGTATCTTTTAGCAATTTGTGCCTTTAGACAACAAATTTATCATTCATTTCTTTGAGAAAATTTAGAAAATTACTAGTATCCTGGAAATAGAATAGAATCTCTCGTTAAAGCATGAGCACTAGGTGAAAGAGGACTTGAAAGAATCGATTGCATTGGGAAAGAAACTTTGGGTCTCAATTGTTACCCTCAAGTTCCTCTGTTTTAAACCAATCCTTTGTGGTATCTTCCTTGACCATGTTTAGTTTTGTTTGAACTTTGAGCAAGTTTTTTGGAGTTCAAACATAAATTTTCCCACTTGAATCAGCTAATATGGCCATTGCCAAATAGCTTGGCGATCATACTTTTTAAAGCAACCAATGGTCCAGAATTCATAATTTTTAATTTTCATTGGTATAACGTCCTGCCTATTTCCAATCAATAAATTACCCATGTTTTGTATTGAGTGGAAACCACTCTTGCCAGAGATCTCCAATCAGTTTAGTTACAAGTAGATGGAGAATTTTGTATGTATTGGTGGACGGGATATATCCCTAATTTAAATTCCATAACATAAGCTTTTCGGTTGTGGTATTATACACCTTGTGGTTGAAAATGAATTTAGTGAGAAGAGAATAAGAATAACTATTGTAAGCACTAACGAAAATGAACTCTTGTTGAGATGAATCTGAGCCATTGGTTTGATACTGTTCTAGGTTGTTGGACTGCTTGAGAAATATATATATATATTGAGAAGTTGCAAATTGCAGGTATGAGTGAGAACTTTATATATATTGAAAGGTCCAATGTCCCTTCACTAAAATTACACAAATCGGTTGTGCCACTGGTAACATATCACAACAGATTTGTACTTGTTAACTGAAGTGTTCTAAACAACAAATTCCTTTTTGGCCTTCCTAGCATTTTAGATTAAGGGCTTAACCAGTACTTCTCAAGTACAAAAAAATATATGTGTTAGAGTACAAACACTTGAAAGTTTCCCCAACATTTCCACCCATTCTCCTAACTGCTATAGAGAAGAGAACAATGACCAATTGTAACAATGCACAATTTTCCATCGAGTACCCCTGCTAGCTAGCGTCCTTCTTCGACTGTAATTGTCACCTGATTATTGGAGACAATGTATTGCTTACCGGATGAAGAAGACAGTTTCCTAGAAGTGTGCGTCCTTATTACAAAAGCTGGTCGATTAGGTTGTGGAAGACTACTACCTTCGCCTCCCAGCATTAAAATAACATCTGACATGTTAGGACGTTTATTTGGATCTTCTTGTACACACAGGAGCCCAATATTTATACACTTTGTTGCTTCACTTGTGTTGCAAGATTCAAGTAAGGACTTGTCTATCAATTGTATTTCAGCTTCTTCTGTCCACAATTTCCATGCCTGTGATAGATTTTCTATCAGAGAATCAAAGCTAAGTAAAAGATACAATATATTACTACTTCATGGGAAGTTTTCTCACTTACATAGCCCAACAAGTTCCTGTATTCCTCCTTCCACTGACTATCTCAAGTAGGACTACGCCGAAACTAAATACATCTGACTTGATGGAAAACAATCCGTCCAGTGCATACTCAGGAGACATATAGCCACTGGTGAAAAAATGCATTAAGTATAAGATTTTTTCACTTCCTGCTAGGAATTAATGAGATGAAGGGATGTTCTACTTACTAGGTCCCCACTACTTTCTTTGTATTTGCCTCCGTTCCTTTTCCTTCAACTATCCTTGCCAAGCCAAAATCTGAAATTTTTGGATTCATCTCCTCATCTAGTAAAACATTACTAGCTTTTAAATCTCTATGAATGATCCGCAATCGTGAATCATGGTGTAGGTAAGCAATACCCCGTGCAATGCCCAATATGATGTCATAACGCTTCTCCCAATCCAATAATTGACAACGTTCTCCATCTTGCATCATTACCATGAAAAAGTTTAGTGATGCCGATAAAATTAGATCAATTATTCTTGTCAAAAAAAAAAAATCAATTATAAAAACATAAAAAAAATTGAGAGTAAAACACTTGTGTTGGCTAACTTACGGAATATGAATGTATCTAAACTTTTGTTCGGCATATATTCGTAGAGTAATATCTGTTCAGTTGTATTAATGCAATAGCCCGATAGCCTCACCAAATTTCGATGTTGAAGTTTTGCAATTAAAGTTACTTCATTCTTAAATTCATCTATGCCTTGTCCTGAATGAGTAGATAACCTTTTCACTGCAATTTCCGTTTGTCCTGGAAAGATACCCTGCCAAAAGTTTTTCATCTCATTACTAAGGTCAATGCGGCCGTACCAGTTCACAGAGTCTTAAGAATGAAATTTTCACCTTGTAAACAGGACCAAATCCTCCTTGTCCGAGCTTATTTGCATTTGAGAAGTTGTCAGTAGCGGCCAAAATGGTCTCCAAATGAATATATGGAACATCAATCACTTCATCATTGTTTTCATTCATCAATACTTTTGCTTTTCCTTCAACTTTGTGCCAGTGAGATATTTGTGTCCCTTGATTTCCTTTTCTTCTACCTGAAATAGAAAGGGGGAGAAAAAGAAGAAAAACATAACCACCTCGTTACTTTATAGGTTAAAAATTACCATAAATATATGTGGGCCTTGTCAACATTAAGTAAGCCTTCAGAGGCTGCCACGTGTCTCCAACAGGACGTGATGATTTGGTCTCAGAAGGTTGACGTCATGAAAGAAATGCTATGCCGTCGCCGAGGTCGAGGTAGCTCAACGTAGGGTGAAGACGAGGAGCGAATACGAGGACAAGCACTCCCTTTAGTATAGCAGTAATGGCTAGTTTTAGGAATATGGTTTCTAAGGGAATATTCTAGTGAATATTCCTCCCAGTTGTACTATTTAGGGTTTTTTGGTCCATGCACCCCTATAAATAGAAGAATATGTAGTTATGGGAGATTGGATACTGATTTGGTAAAGAACAAAACATTAACATTCACGGAAAATTCTTACTTTACCATATACATACAAAGTCCACCTTTCTCTCACATCTTTATCTATCTTTTTCCCCACGATCCAAGGAGGATTTGAATATTCAAAGAATTTATCATCATCTATCTTGGTCATAAGGAATATCAGGGAATCCCACCTTTTTCGGGTGACTCACATCCATTTTATTTACATGAATGTCATTTATTGCTATTTATTACTCCCTCCGTTCCAATTTATGTGAACCTGTTTGACTGGGCACGGAATTTAAGAAAAAAATAAAGACTTTTGGAATTTGTGGTCCTAAACAAGTCAAAAGGGGCAGAGAGTATTTGTGTGGTTATAAAAGCTTCTCATTAAGGGCACAACAACAACAACAACTACAATTCCCATTAGGGGTAGAATTGTAAATTTAAGCTAAATTGTTTCCAAATTTAGAAAAGGTTCATTCTTTTTGGAACGGACCAAAAAGGAAATAGGTTCACATAAATTGGAACAGAGGGAGTATCATTTATTGCTATCTTGCATATTCATTGATCATTGATTATAGCATTATTGTTGTTATTTATTGCCATTCAAACAGCACAGTTGAGATCCTACTACAAGAAGCATTTGATTTATCTTTTGGATATTAATATTGGCTAAAATTAACCCCACTTTATAATAAAATTCGATTACATAAGCCTAAATCTAAGTTTTGGGTCATATAGTTTGGCGTAGTCTGTGGAAATTTTCTCAACCAACTTTTTAGTTTCCATTAGATCCGTAACTTGCGTGAACACAAAGTTTATCTTTTTTCTCTGCCAACAAAACAAACCTCCATGGTAGGTAACCAAGGAAAGGGAACGAAGGTAACAGACAATGTTCCTCTCAACCTCATGAGTACCATAAACGAAGGCTATGATACCCATGACGAGGAGGTAATGCCCACAGCCTCTCCCAGGCGAGAGAGGTCACCTACACCTTTCTGCAGCATAACAAAACCAAACAGGAAGAGGGCCTCCACGTCCACAGGAGAGGAGGCGCCACCTACCGTTAAAAAGCTCCTCGAAGCATGGCTAACTGATACTCTAGCCAGCATTCTCAATAAGCAAACCCCATGCATGACCATAGAAACCACGAGAGTCCATGCAGCACCACGCAGGAACAAACAGGACGACCAACCGAGCCCTCCGACTTCAGGTAAAACTCACACTATTACTGACAGTGCAGGTGACAACGTCCTCGCCACCATGATGAAAAGAATGGAAGAAATAGAAAACGAGAACATGGCACTCAGGGACAAATGAAAGAATACCAGGAACGGGTAGACAAGATACCAGGCGCTCCTAAATTAATACCAAAAAGAGACGCCGACAGGTTTGTGGAACAGCCATACAGGGAAGAAGCAGCTCCGCATGTCATACCAAAAACCTTCAAGATGCCCCCATCTCTCAGAATCTACAATGGGACAACCGATCCTGAAGATCATGTAACCTACTACGTCACCGCCGTGAAAGGCAACGACATCACCAAAGAGCAGGTGTCTTCCATCTTGATGAAACAATTCGAAGAGACTCTCACCGGAGGGGCATTGACGTGGTACTCACAGTTGCCCGCTTACTCCATAGAAACATTTGAAGAGATGGCCGATAAGTTCGTAACAGCTCGTGTCGGGGCTAAGAAAGCTGAAATAAGGGTGAATGATGTCTTCACCACCAAACAATCCTAGGAGAAGGATTGAGGGACTTCCTCGCCCGATTCAATAAGGAGAAAAACCATCGAGTTTTCGATAAGTGGCACATTAAGAGGATACTTTCAACTCCCTACCACCCCACCGACAACGGGCAGGCAGAATCCTCCAATAAATCTATCTTAAACATCATGAAGAGAAGACTTGAGGACGCTAAGGGACCGTGGCTGGAAATACTCCATGAAGTATTATGGCCGCACAGTATAACCCCGAAGACGAGCACATGAGAGACACCATATTCTCTAGTCTATGAAACGGAGGCAGTAATACTAGTCGAAGTCAGAGAATCCATCCTAAGGTACTCCCATGAAAGCAGCAACCACAACGACGAGAACAGGAGACAAGGAGACAAGGTCGAGGAGCGACGAGATATGGCATACATAAGGACGGTCGCACAAAAACAGCAAGCAGAACGCTACTACAACAAATAGGCAAAAATTCAATTGCTCAAGGTCGGGTACTACGTGCTCAAAGCCAAGACCCAAGCAAATAGAGACCCCACAAGAAGGCAAGTTAGGAACTAACTGGGACGGCCCATACAAAATCATAGGCAGAGCAGACAAGGGTTCGTTCCAATTGGAAACTATGGAAGGGAAACTCCTACCAGACAATTGGAGTATCAATCATCTCAAGTACTTCAACTTCTCAAAAATAACAAATGTCACGTAAGTCGTACTCTTTTTTTCCTCACTTGAGTTGTCCCAGTTGGGTTTTCTCAAGGAGGGTAAACGAGGCGACGAGCGGGACACTTCGAATTGAAGTACACGAGAACAGACACATATTTCATTGCTCGACTCCTCAAAAATCTCCAAGTTGAACAATCAAAGGACTAGATATACCGGGACTAGGACTGGAATGCCAGCTAACACCCAAAACATGTCATTTTTCTCCAAAAAATTGCCTAAGGGAAAAATGATGTAATCAGTGCAACAAAGACGAATAATAAAGATGCACATTTATTGAAATTGCTCTCCTAAACGGTAAGTTTGACCAGCTCGAACAACACCTATCGACCCCGACCACGACTTAACAAGAACACTACATTCGACCAGCTCGAACAACACCTATCGACCCCCGGCCACGGCTTAAAAATAGCGGTACGTTCGACCAGCTTGAACAACACCTATCGGCCCCCGGCTACGACTTAACAAGAAAGCTACGTTCGAACAGTGTTCAAAAAAGCGCTCGCTTTCTCGCTTTAAGCGAGAAGCGAAGCGAAGCGTAGCGTCAAGCGCTTCCAGTACCAAAAGCGACGCAGGTGTTCAAAAGCGATCACTACTACCCTAAAAGCGTGAAGCGGGCGAAGCGACAGAAGCGGAAGAAGCGTCGCTTCTTGAAATAAAAGCCCAACCGTGTCTTTTTTAATTAAAAGACCCAAAATACAGTTATGTTTTTGTCATTCTTCAGCAGCAACGTGAACTAGGGTTTTGAAGCAGCCCTTTCTTCCTCAAAAAACCAACAAGTCTTTCTTCTTCTTCTTCAACATGACAACAAACTAGGATTTTTCTTCTTCTTCTTCAACATTACAACAGGTCAACAACAGATTTCAAGTTTCAACAGGTATGTTTTTATTTTCATTCATTCTTCTTCTTATTCTTCTAATCTTCTTCTTCTTTTTCTTTTTCTTTTTCTTTCTAAACGTCCAAAAAGTGCCGAAATGCTAGCGAATTTTTTCCAGAAAATTTGCCCAGATTTTCTGCCCCGTTTCTGCCCAAAATCTGCCCAGAATTCTGCCCAAATTTCTGCCAAATTATATATTTTTTATTCTTAGTTCTTATTGCCTTTCTTATGTGTTATGTAGTTGATATTTTAATGGCGCCAAAAGAAGATAGGAAAGACCCGGCTTGGGCTTACTCGGCAAGATCTAGCGAGACCAACAAGATGGCCATTAGATGTCTTTTTTGTGATAAGATTACAAATGGAGGAATCTATCGTCAAAAAGCGCATCTAATCGGTGGTGATCCAAATGTCGCATCTTGTCCTAAAGTTCCGGGTCATGTGAAGGAAGAATTGAAAGCATACCTTCAAAAAAAAGAAAGAGTTAAAGACTCAAATGATTCATGAACAAGAACTTTATAATCTTGATGACGATGATGAAACAGAAGAAGGTGACGATGCTTCGTCGCTTCCACCAAAATCACAAAAGCGGGGAAGGATGCTTCCACCAATGTCTTCTAGTTGTGGATCTACTGGCAAGACCAAAGGTCCTATGGATTGTTACTTCCCGCAAAAATCTGGAGATAAGGGAGGAAAAAGTGGTAATCCTCAAGTTGATGCAAAAGCGATTTTGAGGGACCGTGCAGTAACCTTTTTTGCCCGATGGATGTATGATGCAGGTCTTCCTTTTAATTGTGTTAATTATACTGACACTTTTGCAGCTTTTATTGAGGCCGTATGCCAACATGGCCCAGGAATGAAGCCTCCAACTTATTATGAAGTTAGTGGGCCATATCTACAAAAAGAGGTGGCAGAGGTGAACAAAATCGTTGAGGAGCACAAAGTAGAATGGGACAAGTTTGGTTGTTCTATTATGATGGATAAGTGGACTGCGAAAAATGGAAAAATGATCATCAATATCTTGGTGAATTCTCCTAGGGGAAGCCTGTTTCTTGAGTCCGTTGATGCAAGCGACTCTTCGACTGATTCAACCAAAATGTACTCCTTGTTCAAGAGTACAATAGACTATTGGAGCAGAAAATGTTGTTCAAGTTGTCACGGACAACGCTAGTGAAAATGTTAAAGCTGGTGATTTGATGTCTGCTGCGTACCCGCATATCTATTGGACTCCGTGTGCAGCACATTCTGTTAATTTGATCTTTGGTGATATTTTCAAGGAAAGACCCTTCAGTACTGTCTTTAATCAGGCAGTTAGGGTGCATTCCTATATTGTTCAAAGGCCTTTATTATTGAACATGATGAAGAGATTCACTAAACAAAGAAGCTTGGTGAAACCTGCAAAGACAAGATTTGCTACAGCTTTCTTGACTTTGGCTAGGATGTATGAGCAAAAAGGCAATTTGAAGAAGTTGTTTGTTTCAGATGAGTACACTAGCAGTGCCTATGGAAGGGAAGCTCGAGGGAGAGAATCTGCAGATATTATACTTTCTACTTCATTCTGGAACAATGTGGTTTATGCATTGAAGATTGGTGGTCCTTTAGTTAAAGTGCTTCGTTTGGTGGATGGGGAGCAAAGGCCACCAATGGGCTACTTGTACGAAGCAATTGATAGGGCAAAGGAGGCTATTCAAGACTCTTTTAGTGACCAAAGAAAATACAAAAGAGTCTTTGAGATCATAGATAAAAGGTGGGATAGTAAGCTTCATAGCCCTTTGCATGCAGCTGGACTTGTTTTGAACCCGGAATTGTTTTATGCCAATGAAGAGAGGATTCTAGGAGATGAACCTTTGTGGAGTGGATACTATGAATGCATTGAGAAGTTGATACCTGAAGAATCCGTGCAAGATAAAATCACGGAGCAATTTAGTATTTATAGGAATGCTGAAAACCTTTTTGGAAAAAAACATGGCCATTAGACAAAGAACGACAAAGTCACCAGGTGAGTGAGTGCTTATATGTTGTTTTATAGTTAATAAGTTATTTCTTTATTAATATTATGTTTTGAAAAAATTTTCTATTTCTACAGTTGAATGGTGGAAGCAATTTGGTCATTCCACTCCAGATTTACAAAAGTTTGCGATCAAGGTTCGAAGTCTAACATGTAGCTCATCCGGGTGTGAAAGGAATTGGAGCGTGTTTGAGCATGTAAGAACTAATAAGAAAGATTTAGAATATTGAGATAATTAAATTATATCTCAATTGTCCTAATCTTACTAATTACTTATTATTTGCAGATTCATACCAAAAAGAGGAACAAACTAACCTTGAAGCGTCTCAATGATCTAGTCTTCATTAAGTACAATAGAACATTGAGGCGTCGTTACAACGCTCGCAATGTAATTGATCCAATTAGTTTGGACAATATCGATGATGCTAATGAATGGCTAACTGGAGTCCCGGAAGATCATGCAGATGAAGAAGTATTTGATGATACTTCTGGTATCACTTGGGGTGATGTTGCAGAGGCGCGTGGAATTGGGCAGAGGATTTATGGTTTGAGGTTGAGGGCGAGTACCGTCAACTTCAAGTTCACAGAGCAACGGAAAAGAGGCAGCTACTCTTCTGTAATTGATGAAGAAGATGAAAGTTGAAGAAGATGACGAGCAAATATAATAAATGAGTAAGTGGAATAACAAGTAATTTAGACTAAGTCTTAGTAGTAAAGAAGTAGGAATGCTCGTATTTCGTGCTTTAATTGATGCTACTCTTGACAATCTTGTAGAAGAATATGATGCTTATTTTGTGCTTTAATTGATGCTACTCTTTAGTTTTTTAATTCAAGTATTGAACATTTGCTCACAATTACATGTGTTGTCTATGCCGTATTTATTTTAATTTTTTTTAAAAAAAATTCCGCATCACTTCAAAAAAGCGGGCGCTTCGCTTCTCGCTTCTCGCTTTTCGTGAAATGGGGGTTGTCGCTTTTCCTCGCTTCACGCTATTTTTAACACTGCGTTCGACCAAGCTCGAACAACACCTATCGGCCCCCTAAATCAATGAAAGGTACGTTCGACCAAGCTCGAACAACACCTATCAGGCCTCAGCCCTAATTTAACGAAAGGTACGTTAACCAAGCTCGAATAACACCTATCAGCCCTCGGCCATGAACTAATAAAAGGAAAGTTCGACCAGCTCGAACAACTCCTATTAGCCCATGGCCACAACCTAATCAAAGGTACGTTCGAACATCTCGAGCGACTCTTATTAGACCTCGGCTACGACTTAAACGAAAAAGTATGATCGGGAAACTCGAACCGCATTTATCGGCCCTCGGCCTCGACATAACTCAACGATATGATTCGACCCGTTCGAACAACACTTATCAGCCCTAGGCCTAAACTCAGGTTGAAGAGAACACAGAAGGAAAACACAAGTACAAATATAAGAACGCACAAAGACAAAAGGCATATATGAAACCAAAAAGAACCTTTATATTCATGGAGAAAGTTTATACAAAGGCATTCAAAGGCGCCAACCAAAAGTACAAGAGATGAACAGAAACATAAAAATTCAGTGGCCGCCGCCCCCTCGACCTCCATTGTCCTCTCCTTCCCCATCTTGGCCGTAAGCAGAGTCACACCATGAGCTATCTGCGAGCTGGTCTACATCTCCCCCACGAACGGGAAACACGACGGCTAGTGGAGTAGGTTGATCCTCCTCATTAACTTTAGAAGAAAGATTCAACATAGCTATGGAATTTGTAGAATGATGAAGTATGGAAGATGACAATATGAAGGAAAGTTAAATATCAAAATGCGAAGAAAATTAGAGTATGATAAGCTAGAAAAATTTCCAGCAAAGCAAAGATGGCTCTAAAGAAAGTGAAATTCAAATAATTGAGGCACAATCCTTATTTATAGAGATGAAGGCACCGGACTTGAAACGGTCTAATCATAATTGTCACTAGTATCGAAACGACAAAGCCAATCAAGGGGCGCGCGTGAACTGACGTGACGCATCGAGAATCAGCATCATCATGAGGAATGACGTCATGACATCACGTGTCTCTTTGACAAGATAGTTCCATTAAATCACCCGGGATATTTAGGATTTGAGATATGCGGTCCGCGTAGCGCTACATCGCCTGTTTTTACAACGACTACGACTGTTGTTATCCGCTCATTGAACTCGCCCACGAGGATGACCTCAGCAAGCAGAGGGACTAACAATTTTTACAACGACCATGACTACCCTTATCTGCTCTTTGAATTCGCCCACGAGGACGACCTCAACAACCAGAGGGACTAATTGTATGGGTTAAAAATTACATAAATATATGTGGGCTTTGTCAACATTAAGTAAGCCTTCGAAGGCTACCATGTGTCGCCAACAGGACGTGATGATTTGGTATCAGAAGGTCGACGTCATGAAAGAAACGATATGCCATCGATGAGGTCAAGGTAGCTCAACATAAGGTGAAGACGAGGACGAGCAATCCCTTTATTATAGCAGTAAAGGCTAGTTTTAGGAATATGGTTTCTAAGCGAATATTCTAGTGAATATTCCTCCCAATTGTACTAATTAGGGTTTTTTGGTCTATGTACCCCTATAAATAGAAGAATATGTAGCTATAGAGGAGATTGGATACTGGTTTTGTAAAGAACAATACATTAACATTCTCTGAAGATTCTTACTTTACCATATACATACAAAGTCTACCTTTCTCTCACATCTTTATCTATCTTTTCTCCCACGATCGAAGGAGGATCCGAATATTCAAAGAACTTATATCATCTATCTTTGTCAGAAGGAATATCAAGGAATCACACCCTTTTCGGGTGACTCACATCCATTTTATTTATATAAAAGCCATTTATTGCTATTTATTGTCATTTATTGCTATCTTCCATATTCTTTGATCATTGATTATAGCATTATTGTTGCTATTTATTTCCATTCAAACAGCACACATGAGATCCTACTACAAGAAGCATTTGGTTAATCTTTTGGATATTAATATTGGCTAAGACTAACCCCACTTTATTATAAAATTCGATTGCGTAAGCCTAAATCTAAGCTTTGGGTCATACAATTACCTATGTTGTGCGGGCTCTTTATTTTAGCCGCCGCACCCGTCTCGACATGACATTGGTACTAGTAAAGGTGTGGGATTCCTACCGGGTGTGAGCAATGGAGATCGGGTACTTTGACCACAATCTATGGACAAATTTGAAGAAAGAAAAGGGAAATATTGAATTTAGCTACTGCATTGCAGTGCCTAGTGCCTACAACTTGAAAAATTCTCAAAATAAAAGTTTGAATTAATGGATGTTACAAGTTAGTTTTCCACATAATATCTCATAGTGTAGGATATTTTTATAGATCTATTTTTAAAATTTTGAATTATTTTTAACCAAATCTCCCCCTTTATCCGTACCTTTATACTTAACCGCGTATCTAAAATTTTTGATTATGAAGGATACGACCATTAGATCCAAGCCTAGATCGGATACCCGCACCTGAGTCTGAGCAACATAGCTCATTACCTCAATCAAATTGAGAAAGTCCTTTGGAATTAAGTCCAGAAAGGGATAAATAAAAAATCTTCCATTCAGTAAATACCTGCTCTTATTGCCATTCTTCTTCTTCTTCTAAAGTAGATGTAGCTAAAGCTGCCTATCAGTAGAGCCATAAAAGTTGTTATGGATGAAATTAAAGCTATCAGCTTCATCGATTTCGTAGCCTTAGTTTGAACTGAAAGTAGAGAGCCAAGAACAAGTTAGATATATTTAAACATCTATCTTGAAGGATTTGATATTTTTAATTTGTTCACTAACTCCTCAACAAAGAAAAAGGAATAAGAGAATCATTGTCATAGGTGTTAATATTAATAAGGAATTGTATCCACAACATAGTGCTTTTACCATTATGAATTAAAGAATTAAGATAAGTTATTCTTGTATGCTATTCTAACCTTCAGGTGAGCCACGTTTGACAAAGATAGTCCTTCCCGTTTCATCTTCGCTGAGCTGTTGCAAATTGAACAGATCCCCTGCCCAAATTGAACAGGTACTGGAACCATCATAAGTATAAGCATTACAAGAGCAACTGTTGAAACAAGTAGATCTACACTGTGAGGCGTCCTCAACTGTGACATTAGTATATTGTGGAATAGGTAATCTCATAGTAAAATTCATCCAAAAACTGTCATTGTCTTCAGTAATGTCACTGCATTGCAACTTTCCAATTCTTACACAGCCACCTGAATAATCTTTCGAGTTCAATTGACCAGTTGATCTTGGCTTGAAACCGCGCAAACAATTGCAGGATGCGTTAGCATTACTGCAAACCCCAAACGCCCCACAACTAGCATAAACCTCACATCGTTCTCTAGGCAGTGACCAGAGTAGATTCCAGGTAATGGAACCATCCGACCATGATAGTTGTTGAACTTTTCCTGAGAGACCCATGTTCCACCTTGATGCGATTGCCCTATTAAAAGGGGAATATGTAAAATATAGCTCGTTCTCATTGTCTGTATAGCTGTAATTGTATACTGTGTTCAGCCAGTCAGGCACTGAGCTGAATATACGACCATTCCATGAACCACTAGCCCAATACTCTGTAGTCCTGTTCCATTTAAGAACAAACTGACCATGTTTTGGGTCCAGTTCCACAGAAAACAATCCTGGTGCCGGATCGTACAAATTCTTCCATGAAGTTAGAACACTTTTTTTTTGGGTGCGTTTGTCATATCCAAGCTTAGCACCAGGCAATAACGTGTCCGTTGGGTGGTCAAAACTTTGCCAAAGTAGTAAGGGTGCTGACGAATTTGACATATCACTTAAAATCAAATTTCCATCATCATGAAGAACTGCTGTTACTGAAATATTTCGAATGACGTTCCCAGAAAGTGCTGACCAAATTGAGTTATGATTTTTATCAAGAAGGACCAAGTTGCCTTGAATAATTGTCAGCTGGGAAGCATCACTAACTGGTGTCTCCCTATTTGCTACCCAAACTACTGTTTGCACGGGAACTTCCTTGTACCATATGCCTATGTAGTAATTGAGAGAGTTCTCTGGTTGGAAGAAACCAAGCTGAAACTTCCCACCTGAAGATACAATTGTTTGGCCTATAGAAAGAGATTCATTCCAAGAAATGCTGTCCCCTCCAAATGAGAGATTGGTGTTGAGACTAAAGCATAAAAATAGCACAAGTATCAGAGACGAATAGCTCTTCTTCATTTCTATTTGTAAAAAGAAAAGATAGGGAGAGTCATTGTCTCCTTGATAAACGTCTTGAAGAGAGGAGACTTTTCTTCTTATAACCCAGTCAAAGAAATCATCTGTCATCTATTTCAATCTTTGATGGAAATATCCTATATACTTTATTCCATAGTCTTTCAATTGTCAATATCAACCTTCTATCATGAATAAACTATTATTCATTGGTCTTTATTTCTAATCTATCTTTGATTTTTCCTCAAACTTAAAGAATACCCCGTCACCCATTACAAAAGCAGTTGGTCAAAATGGTTCTTATTAAAAAAATCCCCCTCATTCTCAACTAATATTAGCTGGACGTTTGTAAGAGATATTAACTGTTTATTTATGAAGAAGAGAGATTAACTATTTAAAGGGAAAAAGGAATTTAGAGGACCAGTTTAAAATGCCAAAAAGTTTGACTTCAAGGGTGTGTTTGGTATGAAGGAAAACATTTTCCGGAAAATGTTAAATGTTTTCCAAATTTCTCATGTTTGGTTGGCTTAAATATTTTGGAAAACATTTTCCTTATCAACTCATTTTCCTTCAATTGGAGGAAAATGTTTTCCTTATCAAGAGAAGGGAAAATATTTTCCAAAACTCTTTCTCAACCTTCCCCACCCTATCCCAACCCACCCCCACACCCCCCCCCACACCCATCCCACCCAAACCCCACCCCACCCCACCTCCTCTCTCCAAAAAGGTTTTTTTTTCAAATTTCAGTTTTTTCTTCCGTCACCACCCCACCCTTTGCTATCCCCCGCCAAACCCACCCTCACTGCCCCCCCCCAACCCCCACCCCGTCGTCTAAAAACTAAATTTTACTTTTTTTTTTAATTTCAAATTTCTATGTTTTTAATTTTCTACACCCCCTGCCCTGCCCCTGCCCCCCCCCCCCCCCTCCTGCGCTAAAAAAAAAAAATTTACTTTTTCTTTTTAATTTTAAATTTTTATTTTTTTATTTTTCTGCACATACCCCCTGCCCCTGCACCCCCCCCCCCCAACCCCCCCGGGAAAAATATTTTTTTTATAATATTTTTCAATTTTAATTTTTTCATCTGTCGTTTACAGGTTAAAAATTTTACAAGTTCCAAAGTTATGAGTTTAGAGGTTTATGTGTTTGAAAGTTTGCGGGTTTAGAAATTATAAAGTTTACGGGTTCGAAAGTTCGCGGTTTTTTACGTAAAAAAGTAAAGCAACACATTAGTTGCTTTGGGTTGTGTCAATTTTAGAGACTTGGGGAAGGGGTGGGAAAGGGGGAGGGGTGGGGGGAGGGGGAGGGAGATGGGGTGAGGAGAGTTGCATAAAAAATATTTTCCTAAAAAAATATTTTCTGCTCTCTAACCAAACAATAGAAAATATTTTCCGGAAAACGTGTCCCACTCACCAACCAAACAAGGGAAAATAAGTAATAAAACCACTCATTTTTCATGAAAATATTTTCTAGGAAAACAGTTTCCATGGAACATTTTCCTTCATACCAAACACACCCCAAATGTGGAATTGTTTAGCTTTACTCTGCTCCTTAAAGATACCAAATAAATAAATACCGCAATTTAATCTCTTGGCACTGTACATTTTGTTAAGTAAAATACATGTACGTTAGGGGTATGTTTGGTATTTCTAATTTTCCCATGTTTGGTTGGCTTAAATGTTTAGGAAAACATTTTCAAAACATTTTCCTCGTGAACTCATTTTCCTCCAATTGGAGGAAAATGTTTTCCCTATCAAGAAAAGGGAAAATATTTTTCAAAACGCCTTCTCAACCTTCCTTACCCTATTCCCCATCCCCACCAACCCACCCAACCTCACCCTCACCNCAAGAATATCTGGTTGCTTTTGGTTTTTGGTAGAGGCAGACCAAGGATTTGAGCCCGACGGGGGCACTAATATTTTCACATATGCCAATTAGTAGCGACAAAGTTCGGCACGCAACTCTTTAAAAACTTAGCAATTATGATAGCTTATCATCAAAGTACAAACTCTTAGTTGTCGTTGTCAAAGTCGACATATGTTGTTGCTTCGTCGAAAGCGATTGTTGAAGCGAGATTGAAGAGATTGTATTTTTTTTACTTGTTGAGAGAGGAGCTACACCACCCCCTCCACCCCACCCCACCCCCTAAATAAAAATATTATTAATAGTACTTTATAGATTAAAAAAATTCATTTCAACAAATGAATTTATTTTTCATGATATAAAGAAGTATTTTTTTTCATTTTAACCAAAAAATACTTTCTTTTCATGTAGAAAAACTATTTTTTTTCATTTCAACAAAAAAAATATTTTCTTTTCATGATGTAAAAAAAATATTTTTTTTTTAATTTAAACAAAGTAAATATTTTCTTTTCATGATATAGAAAAGGTATTTTCTTTTATTTCAATAAAATAAGTACTTTATTTTCATGTTTTAGGAAGAGTACTTTCTTTTTCAACCAAAAAGAGAGTATTCCTTTTTAGTTATCGAGCACAAATTTCAACATTATTTTGCGCAAAAAAATAAAGCAACACATTAGTTACTTTGGGTTTGTGTGAATTTCTGGAGACTTGGGGGAAGGGGGGGGAGGGGGTGAGGAGAGTAGCCTAAAAAATATTTTCCTAAAAAAATATTTTCTACTCTCTAACCAAACACTAAAAAATATTTTCTGAAAAATGTTTTTCACTCACCAACCAAACATGAGAAAATAAGTAATAAAACCACTCATTTTCCATGAAAACGTTTTCTAGGATACCAGACACCCTAGATATTGGTTATTTTTATCTTCCCACAATCATATCTACAGAAAATCTTCTCGAAGCTCCCTCTACTTTGAGTTGTTTGTCAAAGGTAAGCATGGAAAGAGCACTAGAAGTACTCCATATGTTGCAGGAATATAGTTACAACTTCAATCCTATAATGGTGTTTACTTGTCCTACTTGGTACCTTTCATTTTACCTTAAATAAGTTTTGTTGAATCTACTTTTTCATATTCTAAATGGAGTTTTCATTGTTTTGTTGTACTGCCAAAGAATAAAAATGGGTTAACCTTCTCATGTGCAAGTCTTGGCTTGTTATCTCCTTATATGGTCTAGATAAATCCTCATCTTATAAGCTAGTTTTTGGGATTGAGTTAAGTCAATTTATATTTTCCTATCATGTTGAATGCTACTAGTATGTTATCAATTCATCAAAGGATAACTGCAGAAGAAAAAGGGAAAAAAAAGGATTAAGGAAGAAAATATTTTACCAGAAAATGAGTGGTTTTATTACTTAATTTTTTCATGTTTGGTTGGTGAGGGAAAACTTCTTTCGTAAAATATTTTTTTGTGTTTAGCTAGTGAGTAAAAAATATATTAATTTTTTTTGAAAAATATATAATTCAAACAACCACAATCGGAGATGAAATGAGTAGGGAGAAGGGGTGGGGTGGGGTGGAGTATGGTGGGTGGGTGTGGCAGTGGAGTGGGGTGGGGTGGGAATGGAGGTAAGGATGGAGTGTGGATTGTGGAGTGTGGTGTATGGGGTATGTAGGGTGGGGGCGGGTAGGGGGTGGTGGGGGTGGGTTGGGGGAGGGTGGGGTTTGGTGGGAATGAGGAATAGAGTGGGGAAGATAGTGCTTAGGGAGGTTTTGAGTCACTCCTGGGAAATGAGCCCACTCTCTCTCTCTCTCCTGGAACCATGTTCCGGCAACTTTTCTCACTAATATCACTCCATTCTTCACTGGGCTCACATGGAAAACAAGACTTTCTTCATTGCAGGTAATAAATCTTTTGAGCTGTATCGAGCTGGTCGATACAGGAGAAGGTTGGTTCGTTTTAATTGAAAGGGGGCAGACGATTCTCAGCCAAAATCAGTTTAGACGAGGAGAACCTTCGTCGGGTGTGTGGAGCTTTCAGGCAAGCATCAAGAGTTGCAGGGGATCATTACAGGCGATGGGGATGGAAGTCACAAGCATATGCATACAGACTGTTTCAAAATTTCAACACATATGGCAGATTCATCCGAATAGAAACGTGGACAGGGGATAGGAAAAATGCAATAATTATTCCTGAATCAATTTACAATGGGGATGGGGTGACGTTGCTAATAAAATTTTACATTTTCTGGAGGAGCTACCCACAAACAGATACAGGCAGGCTTATACTCCTCAGACAAGATCATATGTTGATACAGCAAAGATCAATCAGTGGCCGGAGATCTCAGCAACGAAGGCAAGAAACATCACAGCAGAAGCAGCTGACCAGAATCACCAATTTCTCTCGCGGTGTCTGGTCGGAGTTTTCAACGATCCATTCAACTATATCCCTAATCAAGAAGTAATTCAAAAGTGGTTTTTGAATAGGTGAAAGATCTTTGTTGGTCTGAGAGTCACCCCCTTCTCTCACAACCAGTTTCTTTTGAGTTTCCTTCAAGACAAGAAGCGGCGAGAATACATGCTGGTGAATGGTTTTGGAACGGTCGTCGCCTGTCTCTTGAGTGGTGGTCACCGGTGGCAGGAACTGATTTGGGCTGCCAGAGATCAGAATACAAATGGGTCAAGGCTTTTGGTATTCCCATCCACGCGTGGTCACTTGAAACCTTTAAGACTATTGGTGATCTTTGTGGTGGTTTCGTCGGAATTGATGAAGACACAAAGCATCGCAGTCACTATTCCTGGGCGAGAATTTGTGTTAATACTAGCAGGAACAAATGCCCAGATAAAATTGAGCTTGATGTGGAGGATTGGAGGTTTGAGATCTCGATTCTAAAGGAGGTTGCTGCTACCCCTAAGCCATTTCCAATTCGAGCCCAGTTACAGGGGAGAAGTGCCGAAGATTCAAGGGAGAAGAAAACCGGGGAAAATCTTCGGGGATTATAGTAGAACTTTAATCTTCGGGGATTATAGTAGAAGAGAAAGTATCATCGTACCACGTGGGGAGTCAGGTGGCAGAGGAGAACTTTAATTCAAATTTATCTGGCCCCACTCCAAGTTATTTGGACAACAGGGCTGGGAAAAAATATCTCATGACCCGGCCCAGTCAAGCAAGCTGCTCAGGAGTTAAAAGTCCATTATTTTGGGCCTAATAGAAACTCAGTCATATTATTTTAGAGCCCCAAGTCTGAAGGCCCAAACAAAGGGCAAATCAAAGAAGGCCCATTCTGTATGGAGAGTAAAAGACCATTGCCCCCAAATTCATATCAACAGCTCTCCAAATACCACCGAAGCTCTACCAACAGACAACTCACAGAAGACTCAAATCCATAGAGCTAGGGCAGAGTCGTCTTTGCATGCAACCATCAGCGAAACTGAAGCTGACAACGAAGCAGATGATGAAGCAGAAACTTTTGTAAACAATCTCATGAGTCTTTCAAATCGTCTAAATTGGTCAGATGCTGCCTCTACAACTCTTGTTTGCTCAGACACTGATTCATGCAGTGAGCCACTCTTCCTACCCTGGCATGACGACAATCTCATGCAATCACAAGCAATTCATCATCCCAACGCAATAGATACTTCTAGATGGGCAAAATTGGTTATGGGTAAAGCATGCAAAGCCTTTGGGATCAATACAGTTGGGTTCGAACATGAACTCCTGGATTTAATCTCGAGGATGGATCACAATCGACAAACTCTAATTCAGAAGAGAGGGTCACCTGCCACAGCAAATAAAAAGGGGAAGAAGAAAGGGGAAATAGAGGTGCAAAATTTAATTAGTGGGATTAACTATGATGGGTGTAGTAGTAAAAGGGGCAGGCATTGCAAGATTGTATCAAGATGAAAGTTAAAATCCTAAGTTGGAACATCCAGGGTCTCAATAAAAGGAAAAAGAGAAGCACTTTAGCATCACTAGTTCGAAAATGGAGGGCAGATATACTGTGTCTACAGGAAACCAAAATGGAAAACATTCCAACTAGTCTCATTCATCATATTTGGGGGAATAGGTGGGCTGAATGGGCAGAGTTAAAAGCTTGTGGTACCAGAGGTGGCATTATCATACTATGGGATAAACGTTTGTGGAAATGCATTGACTCTCATCAAGGCATCTACACAGTCACTTGTATGTTTGAAAGCCTGCAGGAGGATTTTAGGTGGTCTTTTACCGGAGTATATGGCCCACATACCAACCCTGAAAGAGAAGATTTATGGCAGGAATTGGGTGCAATAAGGGGTATCTGCGAGGACAAATGGGTGATTGGAGGGGACTTTAATGTATGTAGATATGAGATTGAAAGACTCAATTGATCCAGAAGATCCGCAGCTAACTTCACAGAAACTATTTTGGATCTCCAATTAGTTGATCTACCTCTTCATGAGGCACAATACACCTGGTCAAGGGCAGAAGACATTCTACAGGCATCGAGGATAGACATATTTCTTGTTTCTGCAGAGTGGGAAGAGAGATTCAAAGCAATCAAGCAACTGGCTCTTCCAAGACCTATTTCAGACCATAGACCATTGTTGTTGGAGTGTGGAGAATGGGATTCTACACATTCCTATTTCAAGTTTGAAAACATGTGGTTACAACAAGAAGGGTTCATAGACATGTTGAAAGGTTGGTGGCAGAGTTACATGATAAGGGGTAGTCTGGATTTCATTCTCTCTTAGAAAATGAGAAATCTGGAAAAGGACATCTCCAATTGGAACAAGGAAACCTTTGGCAAGCTAGAAGTCAGGAGAAACAAAGCATTGGAAGAACTAGCTGCATTAGAACACATCACAGAAAATAGAATCGCAGTACAATCTGAAAAGCAGAAAATCTGGAGTTTAAAAGTGGAGCTGGAGGAACTAGCCAAAGCTGAAGAAACATCCTGGAGACAAAAATCAAGGTGTCAATGGTTAAAAGAGGGTGACAGGAACACAAAGTACTTCCAATCAATTGCCAACTCTCATAGAAGATTCAACAATATCGACAAGCTCCAGGTGGATGATGAATTAATAGAAGACAAGGCAAAAATCAAAGAAGAGATTCTGAGCTTCTATCAGAACCTGTACACACACAGAATGAGGGATGTAGACCTACAGCTAATTTTGAAGAAGTTGCTACACTTTCATGGGAAAACAGGGAGATGCTAGAGAAAGCCTTTGACGAAGAAGAAGTGCATAATGTTATTCTTTCATGTGCCCCAGATAAAGCTCCAGGTCCAGATGGCTTCACATTGGCTTTTTTCCAAAAATCCTGGGAGTTTATCAAACCAGAGGTGATGGGGGCTCTCAACCATTTCCATCAGCAATGTTACATGGTGAGATCATGCAATGCTTCTTTCATTGCCTTGATCCCTAAAAAGGAAGGGGCAATTGAGCTCAAAGACCATAGGCCAATAAGCCTTATTGGAAGTGTTTATAAGATTGTGGCCAAGTTGCTAGCAGAAAGGCTGAAGAAGGTTATTGGTAAACTTGTGTCCAGTCACCAGAATGCCTTCAACAAACATAGACAGATCACAGATGCAGCACTTATAGCTAATGAGACTTTAGATTGGAGGATTAAAATTGGGGATCTTGGTATTATGTGCAAGCTGGACATAGAGAAGGCTTTTGACAAACTGAACCGGTCCTATCTAATCTCTATACTAAGGAAGATGGGATTTGGAGACAAATGCATAAGGTGGATCAGATTCAGCATCTCAACAGTGAAGTACTCAGTTTTAGTCAATAGGAAACTAGTGGGCTTCTTCTCCCCTCAAAGAGGGATCAGGCAGAGAGACCCACTCTCCCCTTTCCTGTTCATTATAGCCAGGGAGGGACTAAGCAAGATGCAAGAAAAAGCCAGAGAAATGCAGTGGATTCAGGGATTCAAAGTAGGCTCCAATATTGGGAACTCAGTCACTGTTTCTCACCTGTTATATGCTGATGATACTTTGATCTTCTGTGAGGCAGATAAGTCGCAAGTTATGTACCTGAACCTCACTCTTCTCCTCTTTGAAGCTCTGTCAGGGTTACATGTAAATGTGCTGAAAAGCATAATTTACCCTATCAATCAAGTGCCTAATGTGGAGGAGTTGGCAGGCATTATGGGTTGCAGCATTGGGACTCTACCTACAACATACTTGGGCCTACCATTGGGTGCTAAGTTCAAAAACTGTGAGGTATGGAATGGGATCATTGAAAAATTTAAGAAGAGACTAACCTCCTGGCAGCTTTAATATATATCCATGGGTGGCAGATTAACTCTCATCAACAGTGTGCTTGATAGCATACCAACATACTTCATGTCATTGTTTCCCATTCCAAAGAAAGTACTAAAGCAATTGGATAGAATCAGGAGAAACTTCCTATGGGAGGGAAATAGCAACACCCACAGATTTCATCTGATAAAGTGGGACAAAGTCACTCAACCGAAATGCAATGGAGGATTGGGAGTTAGAGATCTAGCAGCCCACAATAAATGCCTATTAATGAAGTGGCTTTGGAGATTTAGCACGGGAGAATCAAGCCTATAGAAGGAAGTGATCACTGCCAAGCATGGGAAAAGAGATAACTGGAGCACTAAAAGTTCTAATGCACCTTATGGTGTGGGTCCTTGGAAGTACATCAGTAAATTGGGGAGTGAATTTTTCCAGTGCGTCCACTTCAAATCAGGCAATGGGGCTCACATAAGATTCTGGAAAGATAAATGGCTAAACAACTCTTCACTCAGGGATGAGTTTCCTAGCCTATATCAGATTGCTCTACACCAGAATTCCTCTATAGCTCAAAACAAAAATGGTAGCAACTGGGATGTTCACTTTAGAAGAGCAGTGCAAGACTGGGAAATTGATAGCCTATTTGATTTGCTAGCAAAAGTGGAGGGGTACAATATTGATGTGAGCCAACCAGATACCATATGCTGGGGAAGCAAGGGCACCCCTTCACAGTAAAGAATGCTACAGGCAAACTGATTCCCAGAACCAGGAGTTAGATGCATGGCGCTGGAAGTTAATATGGAAGACCAAATTGCCTATGAAAGTCATTTGCCACAACTGGATTGCCCTCAATGAGGCCTGCTTAACTCAAAACAATCTCAACAGAAGAGGTTTTGTAGTTGGTCAACAGGTGTTATCTATGTCTGAGAGATGCAGAAACTGTCAACCACCTGTTTTTGCATTGCCCTGTGGCTTTTGACCTTTGGAATATGTTCCTTTGCATTTTTGGCTTGATTTGGGTCATGCCACAGAATATGAAAAGAGGCACACTTGAGTTGGAGTTTATGGAGAGTTGACAAGACCATCAAAAAATCTGGTTGATGATCCCTGGTGCTATTTTTTGGTGTTCATGGAATGAAAGGAATAGAAGATGTTTTGATGGAATCTCAACTCTAATTCACACTCTCAAAGCTAATTGCCTACTCAATCTTTTTTGTTGGACTAAATTAGCTTCTATAATTAGCACTGACCAATTTTTGGACTTTGTTAGCTCCCTGGTCTTAGATTGACACCGTCAAGGGAGCTACAATTCTTATTTTTTCTTTTTTCTGCATTTCATTACTTTTGTAACTTGCATCTCATGCCTTTTGCTAATGAAACACCTTATTTCATCAAAAAAAAGAAAAGAGTTTTGTAAAATATTTTCCATCATCTTGGTAGGAAAATATTTTTCTTCAATTGGAAGAAAATGAGTTCATGAGAAAATATTTTTCAAAATATTTAATTCAACCAAATATTGGAAAATTGAAAAACCTTCCTACCAAACACACCCTAAGAAAGGATGGTGTGAATAAAATATTGGCCCGTGCTAGGAGCACGGGCCATGCCCATCTAGTATATATATATAGCACGGGCCAATATTTAAAATTCTAAGTGGGTGTTAATTTTGGATGCGTTGCAGCAAAGAACTTAAGATCATGGAAAATCATAAGTTAGAATCACATAAGCTTACATATTACAGCGCGCATGTATATAAAATGATTGATGTGTAGCAGACTGTCATAATATAGAGTATACATATATAATAGTTGACAACCTATTCTCTCTAGCCAAGTGTTACTCCACAAACTATAAACATTACTTCTCAAAAGAAGATTATGCGTTTCTCCTCCATGTTGAAAGTTGTAAAGCAATAAGTTGTTTTTGCTTTTTAGCTTCAAGAACTCTTAATTTGTAGTCATTCTACACCGCCATCCAAGACATACCAGATCTGCAAAGCCAAAAAAATATTATTACATATGCACGCACAAGAATACACTCCAATGGTAAATGAAGTAAAATCACTTTGATGTTTGCAACAGAATAGGAGATTCCTAAGGCACTATCTTAAATAGTAGTAATGATTTTGATTAAAATTGCCTGCCTGGGATCTCACATAACCATCAGAAATCTCAATTATCATACAAATGAACCTCATACCTTTATCAGTTACTATAGATAATGGAAGCAATGAATTTTCGGATAATATGGCAGTATAGCACCGAACCTTAATAGTTCTATTTTGAAAAGCATCTTGTCCCAAAGCAGCAAATATATGGAGTTTTTCTTCTAGGTTGCTTAATCATAATTATCCAGACTCATCTAATCTTATATTTAACATATCAAAATCTCACAAAGTCAGTGGAGTAAATCTGACAAAGAGAAAAGCTCACTCCAATCTTTACAATGAATCAGTAACATAGCTTTTGGAGCAATTATAGAGTATTTATTCTAAATCAATCCAAAGAAGGAGAAGATAACATGGACATTCCAAATAAAGCTGGAAAAAAACTAACATAGGACTTATTAAGGAATCCTCAATATGAAATAACAGCTACAACAACTAAAAGACTGTCGGACTTATAGCAGGACTTTGCCTCTGTTCCAGTTGAGTGAGAGTTCTTTTTAGCAGAAAAATTTAAGACCTGACATTGCACTTGTAAGTACACCAAAAATTGCATTCATCAAAGTGAAGCAACAAAAATGACACCTCAATTTAAGATCCCAGTCCATATTGACTTACTCACACGAAATGATTATGACTGATCAATCATCATTACCTCAATTCCAAATTAGTTACAGTCTACTATATATGTATCATCTATATTCACTCTGTCCTATTTAGAAGAACGTGTATATGCATTTGCAGTGGCAGACCTGGTGTTTCACGCAGAATACAGGAGCTCAATAACTACACTTTCTCTTTGTTTTTCAAAATATAAGTTAGTAATCAATATTTTCTTTAAAAAAAATTATTAAGAATTTTAAGATCTTCAAGGGTACTTGTTCTCCAATATAAAGACCTCAGGAGCGCAAAAATTTTCATCAAGAGTAGAATGTAGAGTATCACGCACTTCCATATGTACAGAGGTTCTTAACACATAGTATGAACAAACCTTAACAATAAATGAGTAAATGAATTTCAAATTTGAGAGACAAATCACCTCTTCAGAAGCAGAGTAAGTTATACACGTAAATAGTAAATACCTTGATTCGCACCAAGAGATGGTTAGTATTCTGAAACCACAAATCTTATTTATAATGTCTTCTAATAAAGTTATCAAAATTGATTTAAACAGTCAATCACACTTGTATATCTATTACAAAACATGCATGGGCAAATGATGATATTCCTATAGAAAATCCAGCACAAAAGTAATCAAAAGAATAAGAAAACTGATAAACACCAACCAAATTCTCAAACAACAAATAGGTGTCAATAAAAGGAAGAATGGAGGGAAAATTCACCGGAACTGAGGTCAAACAGCAGAAAAATATTTGCCGTCTTACTATTCAATTCGGAGAAAAAGTAAAACAACCTACCATACACCAAAAGTAAAAATATTCAACATTAGTGAACAATACCCATGATTTCATTGTTGACCAATACAAAGCAAGAAGAATATCATTAACAAGTATTAATAACCATACCTTATATCTTTAGTGTGGAAGACAATAATAGCCAACATGGTAACCCAAGTCTTGAATGGTGGCCCTCGAATCATCAAGGTAAGATAATCAACTTTCTTCAGGAAGAGTTTTTGTTAAGTCGCTCCCAAAGATCTCCTTGTTGCAGCATAAAAAAGCAAAGACATTAACATACTCCAAATAAGATAGCTCAGGGATAAAATCAAACATCTTGGCTGCACAATCCAATTTTAATTTCTAGTAGTTTATGATAGCCTAAATTTCACATAACACGATCTAATTTTACACTAATTAGTTGGCAACAAAGGCAAAAATGCGTGTGTAAATCAGGTAAAATTACGAACATGTACGTAAAAATTCTTGCAAGAAATTATATTGAAAAGAATTGGAAATTAACTAATATACACCTGATTGCCTATAGCAACAAGGCAAGACCAAGGAAAAGGCATCCACTACTAACCAGAGTTAATGAATCTTGGAGGTGCAACCCACAAGGACAAGGGTAGACAAATTTGGGGTACATAATGTGCAACAACTTTCTGCAGAGGAAAATGAGTAATAGAGAAGACAAAGATGTAAGTGAGAGAGAGAGGAATGAAGAAAATGGGAAGAATCACAGATGTATAGGGTCAAATTTGACTCTCAACATCTCTACGCCAATGGGTACGCCCAATAAGTGTGCGCCTGCCAACGTAGCGGGTACGACTCGGCCGTGGGGGCAAAAGCGACATCGTTTAGGACTCAATGTCTTCACTAGGGAGACGTTACCTATCTTTGTAACTTTTTGATTCTTTCGAAGAAGGTTTCCTATTATATAAAGGAGACCTTCACATTGTAAAGAGGGGCATTTGATCTAATACAACTCTCTCATTTTTCTGGCTTTCTCTCTCTATCTCTACTTCAAACGAACGTATCTTATTGAGTTCATACTGTCCCTTTGCAATACTAGATCTACAACAATATTATTATCTTTGCATCTCTAGGATTATTATATTTGATTACGATTTACCCTTTTTCTACTTTTGATTGTTTTTTAGCTTACAAAGTGTATTGTTAACTTTTGAGCCAAACAATTTGGCGCCGTCTGTGGGGATTTCGAGAATCAAAACCATAGTATCCACCTAGAGATCAACCAACTACCACTCTCTACACTTCAAAAAAAAAAAAACAGAAAATGGCCGAAAATAACACAAGATCGAAAGCTATATTGGGTGTCACTACCAATCTCCTTGGCCCTCTCAACGAGGCCAGTGACGATGGCATCCTGAATACAACCCTCAGCATCACACCGGGTGCAGAGATCTCACCTTCCCCATCCGAAGGTCTGACGATCTTGCACGAAAAAGGAGCTTCCACATCTGCGGTTACGGAAGCACCCTCAGCGGTCAAAGAGCTACTGGAAAGATGGCTAACAAGCGCTCTAAGTGGCTTGGTTGAGAGATCACCACAAAGTAACATCGGATGTACAACAACGGTAGGTACCACCGCTGCCGTGGGTGAACCGGAAGTTACACTAGCAAATAACAAACCCATCGAGACACAGACCAACGATGGCACGCTAACGGCCATCCTAAAGAAGATGGAAGAAATGGAAAATGAAAACAAGGCGCTCCGCGGTCAGATGAAGGAACATCAGGAGAGGGTCGACAAGATCCCCGGTGCTCCCAAGTTGCTACCAAAGCGCGACGTGGGAAGATTCGTTGAACAACCATACACTGAAGAAGCTGCCCCTCACTCCACCCCAAAAACCTTCAAGATGCCACCCTACTTGAGGGTATATGACGGAACCACAGATCCCGAGGATCATCTGATCCACTACGTCACCGCTGTGAAGGGCAACGACCTATCGAAAGAACATGTACCGTCGGTACTGCTGAAGAAGTTTGGCGAGACGTTGACAGGAGGGGCCTTAACATGGTACTCTCAGCTACCGGCTAAGGCAATATCAACGTTCGAGGAAATGGCAGATAAGTTCGTCACAGCCCATGCAGGCGCGAAGAAAGCGGAGGCCAGGGTCAACGACATCTTCGCCGTCAGGCAAAACACAGGAGAGGGACTCAGGGACTTCCTGGCAAGGTTTAACAGGGTAAGGATGAGTCTACCAAACGTATCGGAAGGTATGGCAGTCGCCGCTTTCCAGAACGGGCTAAGCAGAGATGGTTCGAGGGCAACCAAGAAGCTGCTGAGCCGCCTCATGAAATATCCCCCTACCACATGGGAGGAAATCCACAACGCCTATTGCGCCGAGGTACGAGCGGACGAGGACGATCTTAATGGGCCGACCCAACGGCTAACAGCGATACACTCGGAAACGAGGAGAGATCGACGGAACGAAGGACGACGAGAACAACTCCCCCGCTCCAACAGAGATCGATATCAGCCATACACCAGATCCTCCCATCCGCCACCAAGGCATACAGACGCGCTACAGCGACACGTCGCCCCATTCCGAAACGAAAGAGGTACGCCCCCTTTATTAACCGCCCATAACTTTTGTGTATCTCCTTCAGAAATAGTGTACGCACTGGAGAAGCTGGGCACCAAGGTGCATTGGCCGCAGAAGATGAAATCAGACCCTGCCACAAGGAAATCAAACGCCCTATGTGAGTTCCATCAGGAACGAGGGCACAAAACCGAAGACTGCATAGGCCTACGGCAAGAGGTGGTCAGGATGCTGAACCAGGGATACCTGAGGGAGTTACTCAGTGACAAAGGGAAAATCAACTTAGCACGCGGACGGGAACAACCCCAAGGGCCGCCAAAGCCACCTTCCCCAGCGCGCACGATAAACATGATCGTCGGAGGCGGCGACGAGTCAGTGATCAATCACGTCAAGCTCGCCACCACACACGGACTAAAGCGGACCATCGCCCATGAACGGTATGACGACTTCGAAGATAGTATCACCTTCGATAAGTCTGATGCCGACGGTTTGTCTTTCCCTTATTATGATGCTTTAGTTATAGTTTATCATTTACGTATCGCTGATACAGATGTTTAAAAGAGTCATGATCGATGACGGGAAGTG